CCCCAAAACCCCAAAACCCCAAAACCCCAAAACCCCAAGATGTATAAAATATTGAAATAAATAAAATGAAAATGGAATCAAAGAATAGCAATGCTACAACTAGAGCTGATCTCAGTGAAGACAAAGCTTTAAGCTCCCCGACAGAGGATTCAATTCTTACTCAGGAAAAGAAGATAGAGCATCGACTCTATAACAATTTGAAAAATAAAAGTGGCTTCAGAGGCTTTATGCATCAGACTAATGATCATGTTGCCACAGACCCCCAAATAATTTTCTACATGAAGCACAGTTGCAAGATGCGGATTCCTTTCAGAGATGAATTTTTACTGAAATCAGGATTTGGGACAGACATGGAACGTCAGAGTAAATAAAGTAATTTCAAAATTCCTCACAATTTGCTTTCCAGTCAAACTCAATCAATGGATGGCATATGAATTATTCAATTCTATGAATGGAGAATTCCAGCTTTCCAAGAAGGTGATGTTCCGTAACATAGCTCGGGTCACTAAGGAGCTTACCATAAAACACTCAGCAATAAAGGGAAGGTACCTCGAACAACTTCTGATCTGAGCTAGACACCTCAAATTCCTTGTGTTTAAAGACTGATTCATAGGTAATCAAAGCTAGATCCTTTCCTACACCCCAACAGTATTCTTCTTGCACCATTCATCCCTAGCCCACCTTCCATTTTCCCAAGTTTCTTCGAAACCAAGTCAAACCAAAACTCACCTTAAAAATTCCAGGTTTTAAAACTTTCAGAAATTTTAGCCCTAATTTTAAGATTTAAGAGGACTAATACAGGACTAAGGATGGAATTTTGAGGGGGAAATTTAGAATTTAGTGCAGTAGGGAAGTTTTGAGGGTTAAGAGGGGATTTAGGGGAGATTTAACAAGGAAATTTTGGAGGGTTTGAAGGGGGTTTGATGGTGATGAGTGGAGGAATTGGAATTTGAGATGATTTATTGATGTTTTGGCTGATGTTTGGTGGGAATTAGGAGGAGGTGTTGGGTTGGTGTAGAATTTTGGGATGAAACTTAAATGTGTTAGTTTTGTTATATGTGAAAGTTTTTGGGAAATTATTTAGAGAGTTTTAATAAGATTTTTATTAAAATTTAGAGATGCTTGTTATATCAGAAGTTAGTTATTTATGTTGTGCAAGAATTATTGATTATAATTCAATTTATTCTCATAGGAATATCATTCAGCAGTTTGAGAAAAGAAATTATCTTGGATAAGGGCTATAAGTTGCCAACCATGATCGATTAAATTAGAATACTAAATCTTAATAACCTCCATATAGGTGCTGAATTCACTCAAGCCATTAAGAGATTCAAAGAATTATCCGGCATCAAACTCAATTTCTTACATTTTATTGACTGAAATCTTAGTGATGCAGAAGAAAAAGATGGAAAGCAGTCCAAATTAAAGAGACTACTCCAAGAAATCCTCGGTACAGCCTTCTGAATCTCTCTAAGAGGAATAAAATGTACTGAAGCTTACGAGGATATTATTGAGACTTCTACATCCCTGTACGATCTCAAACTCCAAGAATTAGGAATTATAGCCACCATGGAACCCGGAACATTATTATTTAACTTCGATTACTACACTCTTCAATAACACTAAACTCTCCTGGGGTTTTGGGGTTTTGGGGTTTTGGGG